TACTGGTAGGAAAGCTTTGGCAACTGTGGGGTCCAGAAGGGCCCCAATAAAGGAAACCTTCTGAGAAGGTTAGAGGCATGATTTCTTGTTGTTAATTATCAAACCCAGTTCCTGGCACATTTGAATAATTAGGGAAACCTGCAACTCACGGTAAGGTGCAGTAATGAGCCAATGATGTGAACCCAAATGTCTAGCTCTACAATTGGGCCTGTGCTTGCCCTGTGCCATAGACCCTGAAAAGGGTGGCTGTGCAGGATACTGTGATGAACAAGGCTACGGGGGCAAGTGCTGCGAGTATGGTGACTGCAATTAGTGGAAACTATATGTCTGCCGAGGCCTGTACAGAGTGGCAGGACCTACTATGATACCAAATGTTTGCTTGATCTGGGATAAAAGATTGTCAGTCAACAAAGCAAACAGTGTTGTTCCCTCAAACGGGAGATCTTCCACCTTCTGCCGGGTATCAGGAGGGAGAGCTGTGGAGCGCAGCCAAGCATGCCTTCTCAGTATGAGTGCTGAAGCCATGGCCCTGGAGGCGCCAGTGGTGTGTCTGCCTGCATTAATCTGTTGCTTGGATAGGCTCAATGCTTTTGCCTGGAGAAGTTCAGCTAGAGGCTTCTTGTCTCCTCAGATACGAGGGATGAAGCCGGAGGATGTCTGAATGAATAGAATAAATAGAAGGGGAGCGGTGGCACAGTGGGTATATCCCACTGTCTTAACATCCGAACTGTGTCAGTTCAAGCCCCGTGCTGGTGTGAGCAGCTAGCCTGTTGTCCCCAGCTCATCGTCCACCCAGCAATTCGAAAGCCTTAGCGAGTAGATAAAATGGGAACCACTCCTCAGAGAGGGTGGGCACACCAACTCCCCTGTGGGAAGGTGTTAGCTGTCGGTTGGGATGTCCTGCTCCAGGATCAGAAGGCGGTAGGAACTACTCGGCTACAAGAAAAATCCCCGAAGTGGGATGCTCCGGCCAGGCAGCGGCAGTGTGGCGATACGACATACGGGTCCTGAAGCCCCAACGTCATCAAGCTGGTTGACGCAGCCGTTCGACACATGACTGATCCAAGCCAGAGACATTTCCACCGTGCAGTTATGGTGTGTGTAATTAAAAATGAATTATATGTTGTCTTTCCTATCCCCTATGAAACATTGTTAGTCCCCTGTCTAAAAGTGTAACTGTAAATCACTTTGAGTCCACTCATGGGGAAAGCGATTAATAAATTGAAAATCGAAGGTATGACCTTCTTGTTGCACCCTGTGTAAATTTTCCACCTTTCTGAATGTGGCAGCCACACTAGCTGGTTTTTGTCAGAGGGCCTTGGAGATGTCGGCAACACCCTCCAGGATAGGGAAGGCAATTATACCAGGTGGCTCTGCATAGAGCTTGCTTAAGATCTTGTCTCAAAGTCTTGGGTTGCTGGAGGTCACCTCTGTTTCCAATGATTTAGCCGTTTGCATCATTTGCTCTGCGCAGAGCTTCAGGGCTTCATTAGGTGACACAGGATCAGGGTCCCCTACAGTTTCATCAGGGGAAGGGCCCGATGGTAAATCAGAGCCTGGACCAGAACAGGAGTTAGCCCTCAAAGCCTGCTCTTCCTTTGAATCCAAATGCTCCAAAAGGGGGTGGGGAGAGATTGCAGGAGGATGCCAAACTGGCGGACCCCACAGAATCATGGTTGCGTGAAAATGGGTGCCTCAGTTCCGGAGGTGCTTTTCGCGATTGCCAGTCGCCCCATTCTTGAGGTCTAGGAGAAGGAAAATAATAAGGGTAGCCTTGGCAAGGAGCTGGGAAGAACAGTTCTGACAGTCCACTAGCTGCTGGAACCACTAATGTGCCCTGGCCAGGCTCCATTTCCCTTTCTGATAACAAATAAGGCATGTGGAGAAGGCGTTTGTGGTGGGGAGACTGCCCTCTGTTCCGTTGGAACCAAAGATGGTTTTGGCTGAAACCAAAGAGTTAATTGAATCCAGGAGCGTCTTGGAACTGGAATGATGTTTGATGGATCCTTATGTTTGGATTTAGAACAGGCTTTCTTAGGTGAGGGTCCCGACACACAGCGTTCAGCTGAACGGATAGGCAATCAGACCTGATGCTTCGGTTCTGCCCCCAGAACCAATGGAACCGAGACACTCAATGGCAGGCTCACAAGCTGGTCAGTTCTATCCAGTGATATCGAAGGCAAGGACTGACTGTGCTCTGCCGGGGCAGATGTTTCCACTGCCGGGGTATTAGAGCAAGAGAGCACTTTCTCCCATAAGTTTGCCTTTAAGTGCGCTGCTCGATCTGGGTGGGCTTTCAGGGTAAATTGGAGGCAAATCATGCATGTGGCTGTATTATACCCAAACAGAAAAGGCAGAAAAGCTGTTCATCCAAACGGGTCATTTTTGTACCACACGGAGTATATTTTTTAAAGAAAGCTTTCTGTGACATTTACCAAAGAGGGGAGTCCCCCCAGGAAACAAAGAAAACTTCAAGAAAACTCACAACAGCCACAGCTGAAGAGAACACGTCCTCACAGCACTGCAGCAAAGAAAGGACTGAGGGAAAGAGGGACTCCTCCCTGCAGAGCACGTGACCGTTAGGCTAGAAGATGACCTCTAATCAGCTCTGCAGGGAGGGGCTTCCCTTGAAGTGTTAAAGAAATACCAGAGTAGCTGTGAGAGAGCCTCCAATGGCTGGCCTGCACAAGTGCAGTCCAAATGTGGGACTGTACAGAAGACTGAAGATGAACAGGAGACACCCTGGACTAGGCAGTGAGTCTGCTGGGGACTGTAGTGTATGATTTTAGATGAGCAGGGTTTGGGTGCTGTTCCTAGATAAAAACAGTGAATTATAAAGGCTATCTAGTTATTGTCTTTAGATTGTACACCTGAAAAGAACCAATACTATAATCACTAAGCATAATGGACTTCCCAACTTTGGTCACTATCAGTATCATACTAAAGTAAGAAGGTGTTACAGGTCACGCTTACAAATTAAATAAACTTATGTATTTTGTTAATTAAATAAATAAATGAATGAATGAATGTGCATCCCATGTTATCCTCATCATATATAACCCACTACCTGCTCTGCAGGACCCACAGATAAGAGACCTTGATTTGTAGCTGATGTGCTCTCTGATACAAGATTAAGGAATCCTCTTTGTGTGTGAAACTAATAAAAGAAATTCACTTTATCTCACATGCCAGCACTGTAACAAAGACAAGGCAAGTGAGGCATTTGCTTCGGGTGCACAAAGCTGAGGAGGGCAGAAAAAGTATATCATGACTAAAAATAAACTATTATTACACATTATTTATGTGTTGATGACTTTCTTACCAAAAGATCTACTATGAAATTACAGGGGGTGCAATTTTATATTCTTGCTGCAGATACAAAATTAGCTAGTTGTGGCTCTCTCACATGCCTAAAGTTAACAGTGAACCTGGTGTAATAACATAACAGGAGGATGCAGGTGGTGAGGTGGGTCACAACTCTCCAGAGTGAGGGACCTGTTATTGGTAAAGTGGTGTAAAATAACACAACAAGAGAAAGGCCTGGATCAGGGTTGTGACAATGCTATATGATAAATATGCTATCACCACAATAAAAAACTGCTAATTTTAGACTAACTTCTTCCCACAAATATCAAATAGTTCCGTTATTCTTTAAAAAAAATAAAGAATTGTTTTGCCTACATTTAGGGGATCTTACCTTGCCATTAAGCTGGGGTTCTCTAAGTTCCTTCCCCATATTCGCTCCAATTTCAGCAGCTATCTAGGTGGTCACTACAGGAACTGGGCATCACCGCCCTTCTCATCTAGAGACTTCTGTTCCAACACTTCTCCTGACAAGTCTGGTTTGCTTGCTGAAACCCGAGTCCCACCCAGCTTTAGCAGCCCTCTGCCTGCCCTCCTGGGAGCCTTAGAGTGTCTTCCTTCTGGCATGGCTGGCACCACCATCCCTTCCAAACCACCTGGTGATTACATTCAGAAGATGTGGCTGTGCTGCAGTTTATCCCACGACCAAAGATTACTACAATAAATCACTGCGTTATTGCTAGGCACCATGTTGAACATTCTAGGTGTCATAGCGTCTTGCCACCTGCAGTTCGTCAACGTTGCCCAGTTCCTTTCCTTTCTGGAGACAAATACAAACCACCAACAGTCACAGATTTATAGATGTAGATTCCACTTCTGAGAATTGAAAGATGCTTTTTACTTTCTGCACTATTTCCATTTGTCTGTATTTGTCTTGTGCCTCTGATGACACTTTTAAGGCAAGTTACTTCATGCTTTAAGATGCACATAGCATGCATCCTCATATGCTTTCAGCTATGTATTTTGGAGATTAAACCAAAGCCTAAGAATTCTGCATTAGAAAAAGAATTGTTTTTCCACTTTTCCACTTACCACATAAAAGAGAGAAGAACATATGTAGAAAGACCAGTCCTGTTCATTCAAATTTTTATGAACTGAACTCATAATCACATCATACATGTATTCAGGGTCTTCCAAAGACAGACAAGAATTTAATATATATATCTCTGTATGTGCAACTTTAACATATTTTCTAAAAAAGGAAATGAATTATTGATGCAAGTGTTGGGAAAAAACCACCCATATTTTGATGTGGTATAATCCCAAGGGGGTACACTACATGCTTTATATTTGAAAATGCAAAGCTCTAAAGGCCTTCCAAACAAGAGAATCATGGCACTTCTATAGGCAGTAATATTTAGAATCCAAGTCTTAAATAGCATAAATTAGATATAAACATGAGAAACATAAATGTTATTGTCATTAGTTTACAAGACATACAGAGTTATCTCCATTATGGAAAACTAATTCATTAGGATGAGTTCATTACACTGATTCCAGTTGTAACTTTTAAAGAAATTTAATTTTGAACTGAGAAAATATAGCCAGGAAAAAAAGTACCTCAAACTTTACTTGATGCTTACAGGGACAGGAAAGCAGCCAAGTGTCTTTTTTTAGTTATGAAAGAATTTACTTACATTGTCTATGAAATTTGACTTAAATCCTCCCTCCTGCTGTCTCCTCAGTTCTTCCTGTTCTCTCTGACGCAGCATCTCTTCTTCACGTCGTCTATGCTCTTCTTCATGTCTAGAAGTTATATACAAAACACAACTTTATAAAATACTTACTATTCCTTTTGTGCCAAAAATATTTCCAAGTTCATGAACATACAGCTAAAATCTTCATTTTAAAGAGCCATTTACCCTAAACTTTTTTCTACGTTAGATTTTGACCATTACTGATATCAAATGGCCAATATTTAATGCACACCTCAATAGCCAGCCTGTTCTAAAATATGTTTTAAAGGATATGAAGCACCGAAACTATAACAAGAAAGAGCGCAAGCACCGGCAAAAGAGACTGATGGAATCCACTGTCTGCAACAAATGACAGCTATAAATGCCAGTTTATCCATCCCGGCATTCTACCATGAGGGGAGAAGAGGAACCTCATGGAAATTACATAGAAAGTTACCAGCAACTATCTTCATTTATTTGTAAGGCTGCACAGGACCAATGCTATTTTAAAGATGCAACCATTTCCCTCCAGGATGATCTTTAATTGAAAAATACCTTAATTGTATTTGCTTTCGTTTCTGTAGCTCCTGATTTCGAAGTTCTTCCAAACGTCTCAGTTCTTCCTGACGCCTCATAAGATCTGTGAAAAGTCAAAATAGCAGCTAGCAATTGCTTTTAAAACACAAATGATTGTACGTCTGTGGTAGTTAATATGATAAATACTAAAAAAAGGTTTGAAGTATTGTTCACTAGATAAATAATTGCTTGTCTATTGTTTAGAAGTTATGCCTTATGAGATTTACTAATGCACTTCATGTGCTGATTGCCTCCCTGATGTCCTGAGGAAGGGCACAATACATTTCTCAATAATAATAAAGAAAAGAGGCTTCTGCCCTCTGAGCATTTATAAATGTTACACTAGACCTCAGCAATGGATGGATGCTCTCATTTCTAGGCATGAGGCAGACACAACTAACAGTTTTCTTAGCAAAAGTAAACTACAATTTCAGGGCACTTAAGGGTAACTTCCACATCATTCATGCCAAGGTCCCTATTTAATTCCTTAAAAGAAAAGGCTGACCATGTGAATAAGGTGTTAAATAATGAACACATCCAGACTTTGCCAGATTTCCATATAGGTGGTTTTTACCACTGTTGAACTTACTTGCTCAACTTCTTATGGTCATGAAAATCTGGCTTTAAAATGTATTAGGACAATCAGATATCCTGCCACAATGAAGACAATTCACTAGAAGATTTCTAGACATCTAGCCCATGAGATAGAAATCACCAAATATGCTATGTAGAAATACCTTGTCTCATCAACATTAACTGATGCTCATGTCGAGCTGCTTCCATTTCTGCCTCCAGTTTCTCCTTTGCTTCTCTGATGTTTCTATCAACTTGTTCCCGCTGTTGCTTTTCCATTTCATCAAGGGCCTTCCACCGAGAAGCATACTCAAACTCAAAAGTTCCAGGCTGGGCAAAAGGAGGAGGCTCCTCCCTTTCCCTCCGAAGCAAAGTATAGTCCACAGGTACAGGTTTCATTCATGTAAAACTAACAGCAGAATACTAATCTTTGACGTTTTCCCCTTTTTGCCATCAAGTCACGGCCAACTTATGGTGACTCCATAGGGTTTTCAAGGCAAAAGATGTTCAGCAGTGGTCTGTCACTGAGTGCTTCTGTGTAGAGACACTCTGGTATTCCTTGGTGGTCTCCCATATAAATGCGGATAAAGGCTAGCCCTACTTAGCTTTCAAGATTTGATGAGGTCAAGCTAGCCTGGGCTACCCAGGTCAGGGCTAATCTTTGACATACAAAGAGGAATTCTTTCTTCAAGCCTTCCTCATGTATTATTAATACAATAATTTATTTCATTCTCTCTAACCAACAAGGTCAAACTAGACACAACATCAGTAGTCACATGTTTAAACAAAGAACTGCCGTAATCATCAAGAAGAGATGGAGTGATTAAATTAAAAAAACACACACACACAAAAGTGCACAGGTGAGCACCTTCTTCCCACCAGCAGTTTATCGCCCTGCAAGTGCTTTTCTCTCGGATGAAAATGTGTAAACTTACTTATGATACTGTTGAGTTTTTTGCATTAATTTTTCAGGCAGCCCATCTTCATCATCAAATTGTTCCATAGGTTCTACAATAACAGGTCGAGGAGTTCTAAAAAAAGGAGATCATGTACACTTTAATGGATCAGCCAGAATCTATAAAAACCAAGTTGCAGCCCAACACAAACGTCAACTGTTAGTCACCCAACAAAAGCTGAGTTTGCCCATAGTTGTTTGTTAGGAAAGAACCACCAGGGGTTCTCCCACCAAGCTTTTATACTTCTTCAGCCTTACCCCCGGCCATTCAAGCCTGAAAAGGAGCTGCTTCCTGATTCTCTATGCCAGGTCCCCCAATGTAGCGACTGTGGGAACCATGGTGCCTGCCAACACCTTTCTTGGTGCTCACCAAGTCTTTTTGGAAAGTGGGTGGGACCACTTGCCCAGGAAAGCTTCTTCTTAAAAGTTCCACCTCTCCTCCATAACTCTGAACTAATCATTGTGATTCAGGCCTCATGCATGTCCAACTGATTGTCAACCAATCAGAGCCCATCAAACTCCACTGGATGAGAGGGGGTGAGCCAACCTCAGCTTAAGAGTGAAGAAACCTTTTTTTATGTCAGCTCTTCTATTTGGCTTCTTAGTTAAGAGTTTGGAGGTTGACTGAGGGAAGAAAGCTTATTTTTATATAGGTCCTGTGGTAAGGTGCTCTGGGAGAGAAAAGAGCATCCTTGAAACTGCTGAGGTACCCTGTCCAGAGAAAAGGGAATCAAATCTCCCTTCAGGGGTTATTTATTTTGACAGCCACCTTTACATTATATATCTAAGTTATCCATGCATCATATATATCTTATTAAACACTTCATTTTCTGTGAAATAAACCTTTCTTGTTCCTCTCTGTGTCCTATCAAGCCAAAAATCTAAGAAGCAGTGGTCTCTATTTACCTCGCGCATAAGTACAGCCATAGTCCTTGCATGTTTCCAAATAAGAGCCCTTTAGGGAGCACAGCACTTACATGCTACCAGTCCTTTAAAGTTTATGTCCCCCTGTTTATTTGATTGTGGATGGTTGGGATATAAAGAATCTATAGGAGAGGCCAGAATGAGGGGGGCTGGATATTCTTCAGTGCAGAAGGCAGTTGCCTCAGAGCCTTCCCTTCTCTCTCTCTCTCACCTCATAGCTGCCACAGCTTCTGATTTGCCATTAAAGATCTGATTAGCTATGCAGATAAACACAACATTATTTCAGTGGCAGCTGCCACCACAGTGTTGGTTTTATCACCTCTCTTTCCCAGTGTTTTTGAAATTACACCTCTTCTCCCCTACACTTGGGCTTCCTCTGCGTGGGTGGCTCTGCCTCCTGTGGCAGGCATTTTGTGGTTGCACCCACAACCCTGTGTCTGAATTCCAAACATAACCACAGGCTCAGAAAAGCTGGGGACCTCTGCTGTATGCTCGAAGTCTACCTTCCAGAGATTTAAAGAGTTACGCATAGCCAAGCTGTATAGAAGCCCTCTGACAGTAGTAGAATTTCCATGATTTGAAATATCTGGCAGGAAGGTGTGATGTGGTAGTAGATGAGCTCTTTATATCTTATTATTTTACTGTGGTTTTAGATATACTTTGAGTGCTGCTTTGCAGGAAAAAAGCAGGATGATAAAATACTTCAACAGACCCTTGGTCCATCAAGATTGGTACTGTCCATTTGGACTTGCAGCAGCTTTCAAGGGTCTTGAAATGCTGAAGATGCTGGGGATTGACTATGGGACCTTCTGCATTCCAAGCAGGTGCTCTAACACTGACACATGGCCCCTCCCCTAAATGAATGTAGACAGCACATACAAAAATCTGAACCCATTTCACAACAAATATTAACTGCATACCATGCCATGAAAGTTTCAATACTTATAAAGCAGAAAAATATACTTTAGGTAAAATATGACCTGAATCAATAGCTTTGGTGACAATTCTGTGTACATATTCATGAATTTCAAATATTTAACAGCATGTGAGCTGCTAAAATTTCCATGCTTATCTATACTCCAAGTATGTTTTATTTATTGTTTAAGAAATGATGCTTTTAGCACATACAATTTCAGGGCCTATTCTATCAGCACAGTACCAATAGAAATAGTGATAACCTGCTGCTCAAAGAATTCACAACAGTAGTGGACATGAATAGAAATGTGTTTTTTACTGCAGTATGGAAAGGAATTAGATGAAATAAAATTAAAATGAAAAAGGCAGCTGTATTTGCTAACAGAAACAGATTAAGGATTTGAAATGGCAAACTCATCTAAGTTGCAAAATTAATCACAACTGAAAAGTAACAAAAAGTCTTCATTAATTTGAGTAAGACTGAGGGTAACAGGCACTGAAGATAGTTAGCTAGCTTCATTAAGTTTTATAATTGCTTCCCTCAAATAACACAGGTAATAAAAAGGCTGATTAGTCTAAGTACTGTAACAGGTAATACAGTTGTGGTATTGGACTTCCAGCCAGCTAATACATATACAAGTTAGTTAACAAGCACAGACACAATTTTTTTAACATTTTATTTTTAATTGAGACAAAAAAACATACACAGATCGGGGGGTTCCCATTACATCACTAAAGTATCTAGTTAAGTATCTCATACAATATCTAAATATCTATTTTCTATATTCCACCTTATGTTTATGTATATTCTTTTGTAATTGGTTTAAAATAAAGTTCCTGTTTCTTTCAAATTGGTTATATGCCCGTCTAACTTAGTTGTAAAGTCTTAAACATCTCTATAGTCTCTCTTGTCCAAAGGGTTTTGACCTTCTTTTAAAAATGTGTAATCTCACATATCCAGAAAGTTGTAACCATTTTTGTAGGATTTCATCATCCTTCATTCTCTGGTTTCTCCTCTTAAGTTTTAAAGTCTGAATTCTGTGTTTTTTCCCCTTGTATGTAAGGAAAATAGCTTCTGAAAGTAGCTCTCTATATTCAATTCTTTGGATGGTTTGAGGTCCCATATATTCTTTACTTTTCTCTCTCTGGAGAAAATATCATTTGCTGCTGTAAAGATTTTATCTCCTGTCTTTCTTTCATTTTTCTCACATTCAGTTCCCCAAACATTTGATTTCTTTTTGTATATGTTGACTTCGTTCTGTAGGCCATGTCATTTTGCTTGCAGACTTCATCTGTATTTTCTGTATCCATATCTCTCACAAAGATGTATGCTGTGTCAGTTTGCTCTTTCATCTGGCTGATGTTCTGGTGTAGGAGTAAGTCTAGCTTAGATTGTATAGAGTCCAGAACCATTTTCACAGCTTTTTCTACTATTAAGAGTGATTGCTTCTTGTAAAAAAGTTAGAAATCTGTAATCATTTTTCCTTCTTCTACTCCAGCTATTTTAAAATATTGTGTTAAAAACAGAGAATCACTCCAGCTCTTTGTCAATAAAATCTCTACAATCACACAAGCTTTCTATGCTTACCCAATTATATTAAAAACAAGAGGGTTCCCAGGCAAAGCAGATAGTCTTATCATTTAATTGTAATACAGACATATCAGTTGTTTACAAGAACTTCAGAACATAGTATACTTTACAATTTTCAGCAAACTGCAAATGTATACACAATGAATTATAAGGAAATGATGTAGCGAAAGTTAAAAATACATGCTTAATAGTTCATTAATACGTCCTTCTTTCTCCTTAATTTTAGTTTATGGTGCAGATAATAAGATGTAGATATTTATAATCCAAATTAAATGTCTTTCTATGAATCCTTATGGCTCAGTTGTAATTCCAGGGGAAATAGGTTTCTATTTCGATACAGAATCTGAAGCTTATTACAATATCCCAAAGATTTAAAATCCACAATATGGTTTTGTAATCCAAGGTATAATAATATCACGTTTATAAGTCTGTTTCACAGTTTTTAAGAAAGTTTCTTTCTCTTCTCTTCTTAGTCGCTTTAGAGTAATGGGGGGGAGATTCCTCACACCTCCCTTCCCCCCCCTTACAAACGGTTTAAAGGGCTTGATCAATGGAAAAGTTCCTAGTATTGTTGCAGTTAGGGTTACTTACAGTGATTTATCTTCTTGTATTGTTTTGTTGAGATGTTCTGTTTCCCCCTCGTCCCGGGAGTCATGACTTTGCGTCCATGGCTGCCATGGCAGCTCTCACTGAGATCTTGCTGGGGGATGGTCTCAGACTTCCACCCGCTTGCTGCCGCTCACGGGGAGTCCGAGTCAAGCCCCTTGCCATGAGCTCCTCTCCGGAGAGTTCATTGGAGTTTGGGATTACCAAACTCTTCTTAAGGATCCAGTGATCCAGTAACTTCATGGGAGCAAGTCCCAGAGCTGACCATTCTTGTCACGACGAGAACCGGAAGATTCGGCACAGACACAATTTCAGGGCACCTGCTTTCAGATATACATAAGCTTTCCCGTCAGCAACCAGGTACATTTTGAATTTAGTCCAAATTGGTTTGTATGACTGTGTACAGGACAAAGACTCTGCAACCTGTACAAGTTGGGCTGTGGAATTTACTGGTCTCATTAATGCACTCTAAACTTCATTCCAAATTCCTCAGTTTTGCTAAACAGGAGACTTCAAATTCACCTTTAATTAGGAAAAATTCACTGGAATAATGGAGGAAGCATTAGACTTTGACCACAAGATCCACTCACTATCAGATAAACTACATAATGCTGGGCAAGCAACAATCCTCTACCTAATTTCCCCCCCTCCCTGAACCAGGTACAGATACCAATTCAGATTTCCAAGTAAGAGTTCTGTGCAGCCAAGTAGTTCTATCAAAGATAGTATTTCTAGCATTTAGGGTAGTACTTTGCAGCAGTAGCATTTTTAGCTCACCACTACTGTACAACAGAACTTGCAGCCAGACTCTAACAAAGTATGGCCTTAACTTGTAAAGAGTTTTCTATCCATATAAACGCCCAAAGAAGCTGGAAAAAGAGCCACCGCCACTTGGGTGCTGGTAGGGCTGTCCCACCCCCTCCTATAATGTGGCCGTAGTCAGGGAAATAATATAAATGGTGACTAGCACCGACCTGTAAGCCGCTCAGAGACCCCTGAAAGGGGGTTCGAGCGGGATATAAAGTCTAATGTATAAATAAATAAATAAAACTTAAAGTCAATAAACTTACGTTGTCAGTAGGAATGCTCCATCACTGCACCTTTCTAGTGCTTTCCGAGCTGGAGGTTTTGCAGCAAATTCTACAAAGCCTTTTCCAGTTGCCCTACCACGATCATCTACGACAGCAACAGCTCTTTCCACTGGGCCAAACTGAGAGAAAGCTTGTTCCAGAAGCTCATTGGAAACAACAGGTGAAAGATTCTTCACTGTTAAAGCAGCCCCATGAGTAGCAAATCGAATTCGCAGCGGTCTGCTCTTCAGAATAGTTCCATCGAGCTCGGCTTTTGCAATTTCAGCCAGAGTCCGTGACTCCTTTGAAGAAGAAATGCATAATTTGTATTATATTTAACTATGTCAACAATTTGATTAAAGTTCCATATATATGAGACCACTTTTGATTTGCTTAACATCAATTAATTCCATACCTAGACCACAAATACCAATTTCATCCTCCCAAATATAACCTGAAGGTTTACTTAAGCTGGAGGCACTGCTTAGATGCTGCAGAAGTTAACCAGTTTGTGCTACTTAATTCTGGTTTAGCTGTCTCTAACCATGAGCAAGTGATGAGGGGCAGAAGGTTTCTCTATTAAGGAAAAGCATTATCCCCACTATAACACGAAGTGTCATGAACCTTTCCAGACATGCCAAATCATGGCTACAGAAACCTAACTGTAATGTCCATGTTGATAAACCACAGATGAAATACATTTGATAAGCACTAGAGATCTTGCCCGGGAAAAGTAACAGCTGGAGAAAGTGTGCTAAATGCTACAGAATTTGTGAAACAGAATACTGGGAAGAAGACTGCACTTGCATAGTTTTCTGACCAATTCACCACAAGGATATGAACTCAAAATGTGGAGATGTCTGCTGTACCTATTTAAATTGGGAGAGAAGGCAGCATGGTATATCCCAATCTTGTCAAATCTCATAAGCTAAGCAGGCTCTGTAGGGGGACGGGAGAGAACCACCAAGACTCTGCAGAGGAAGGCAATGGCAAACCATCTCTCCTTCTCACTTGCCTTGAAAGCCCCTTGATAGGGCCCCCGTAAGCTGGTTGCAGTTTCACAGGACTGTGTAAAGACACACACACCAGGTTTAAAGTGAATAGGATATGTGTATTCCATGCTACTTTTTCTTCTTTTCCTGTGTGGTTTTTGTAATCAAGCTGCACCCAATAACTTGTGTTATATTATTCATTCTTTCAAGGAACTAAGGAAAAGGGATACATACGAAATTCCAACACAGACCCTAGAAATGCAAAAGCCCATATTAAGAACACAGTTTTCTTCCCCTAGGACTGTTTCCTTCCACACCTGGAAACTCTGGGATGACATTAAAAAAATTCAAATGAAAATTTTTCTCTTTTGGAATGAGTAAAATGCTTTAAGATACCATGAGACTCACTAGCCCATGCCTTCTCAACTGTGCGGTATGAAGATTTTTATGTAAGGTAATCTACAGCAATAGAGAAGTAGAGACCCACAAGACTAATGGGAGGATTCCATTCTCCCCACCAGACCAACCACTTGCCATGCAACCCATCAACTTCCTCACCCACCAAGAAAACTGCAGGAGAGATTTCACTTGGCCATCTTCCTTCCTGCCCGTCCTCACCCACCACAAGTGAAAGTGCAGACAACCATTCTATGTTTTGAGTGTTTGTGGACCCCCACCCTTAAGGTTTTCAGATTTTTCTGCAAACTTAAGAGGGTTTGGAGGACAAAAGTCTCCCTTTTGTTATGATGACCCCAGTCTACAGATTTAAGCATCCATAGATGGAGCATTGTTGAAAATGTCTGTCCACAAGTGATATAACTAATAAAACACAATCAACAATATTGATGTTTTCATGGTAAACACATAATTCAAATCTAATAATACTCATTATGTTCTGTAATAATCCCCGATTAAGGTAGAACAGGACTTCACAAGAAGCTCTGCCTCATACTGAGCTAAGCAAGAGATGACCAAAGACGTAACTACATACTCCTGGACCAAGAGCAACAACAACAACATTGCCACACACCACAAGTTAAAAATGAGCTTCAAAAACAGAGGTTTACCAAAATGTCTCCCCACTGGCAGTGCGACTGGTGCGTTTTAAAGCAAGCTCTAATCTGTAATTTATTTTCTGCAATCCATGCTTAAAAAATTAAGAAAAGCTTAACAAAAAGGAAGCCTTTTTTCTTTGGGAAAAAAATTAAGTATCCTTAACTGGCAGATTTAAAAATTTTCCTGCATAAACCTCTATCAGAGGGGCACCTGGACTAGATTTTTTAATAGCGGTACGTTCCTTCCATTTTCAAAATAGAGTGCGCAGCAATATAAGCAGCTTTTTATATTCCATCTATGCCTTATTTTCAGGCTTTATCACCACTTTTTAAAATTAAGTATCATTCTGGTGCCCATATCCCCTTCCTTCTTTAGGAACTTACCTGACATCTCATCACAATACAACAGAGGGGAGTTAATTCACAGCATTATTCTACTGTTTCAAGGCCATAATTTATTTCCAGATTCCACAATGGAACCACTTTCAGCATGGAAATACTGCTTTTATTATGCACAGCAATGCATAGTGAAATCTTTCCGAAGAGAACAAGCTGACACCCCACATCTAACTAGAACTTAATTCTGAAGTGCCTTAAAGACCACTTCCAACTATTGTTACTTTCAAGCTCACTTTGGCACCACATCACAACTTGTCCTTTAGCCAACCTCCAAAATCTTCAACATCTGAAAAAAGTAACAAAGACATTGTTGTTGCCAAATTCTACATCCTAACAGATGAGAAATAGATAGTAGGTGCCCAGCAATCACTGTCTTCTATGAAGCCCAATTTATACCTATCTTCTCATACTGTGGTTCCCAGCAGTTCCTTAGGTTTGTTTACTGAAGATCCCTAGTGATTTGTATGGTCAAATGACATTTACCGCTGGGCACTAATTGAACATGAATTTTCCTGCAGGGATAATGGCAAGGTACATTGCAAGTGCAGTCAGACGCCTAGTTCAAGAGCCCTCAGATACTTTATGAAAGACTAGAATGCAGTAGGGTGTATCTGACTGCATTCTGATTCTAAGACCAGAAACATAATATGTAATAGGGAGGCCATACACATCAGAAGAAGAATGAAATATGGACATGTTCAGCAATGGTTCATAAAGATGTCAGTACCCTTTTGACAAGGTGTATAGAAATATTGCTTCTATATACACATGCCTTCTCCTGTGATGTCTTTTGATAACATGCTGTGTCTTGTTTCCTGTTGCAAGCCAAATGGTGAGGCCAAATGGCCTCAATAGCCATGCCATAAACCCACATTCTTTCACACTTTCATGCCAAAAGCCAGACCTCATGGCTACACTTTCTGGCCCACATGTGACAAGTCACGTACTCAATGAAGTAGCTGGAGTTTGGGGTCAACTGACTGCAGGCAGGGTCTCCAAACTCCTAGCCAATCTATACACACACATGATGTGCAGCTATGGCAACTAGAAACTGACCATACATCCCTGCTACTCTGATTGGCCAAAGGCCACGGCTACTCATGATTAGCTTGGGGTATAATTGTTTGATCCCTATGGGAGTGACTCTCTTCTTCTTGTTATCGAGTCTCTTGTTCTCTTATCTCTGAGACTCCTGCTGCCTGTTCTATTGCACCTGAAATGCTGTCTCTTGGAAAACAAAGACCTGCTTGGTGACTTGGAGCACATGGGTGTGCAAAGATGGGATTTCCCATCAAAATCCCTTGGACTATTCTGGACTGTTAGATGTTCCTGAATTGGTAACTATGTATCTTTAATGTGTAGTTAAGGCAAATTGCCCTAGCCTTTGTTATTTTGTAATCTCCTAGTCTGTTTGCTGTGCTCTGTACTGAATAAAGATCCTTCTTATTACTAATTTGTCTCTGATGTTGTAACTCGCATTCCAAGTCTAAGTCTTGTGCCTAACCCTGACCACATAAGCTACCTTGGTAAGAGTAAAAGTGTGCATCTCTGGATTGAGTTGCTAATGTGTTCTGTCCCAGATGCCAACTAAGGGTTTGGAATCTCTTCCATTAGAAAAAGCAGATACTAGTGAAAAGAGGTTCTGGTGGCAAATTGTCTGGAAACCAGAGAGGGTATAGACCCTCTCGTAGTTTATTGTTTAATGTACTGAAAAGTACAGGATTCCCTCTCATCCCTGGACTGGCCTGGGTAGGCTAATCCTGTACACAAGGCTGTAACCTTTTGTCAGTAACCTTTTTATAAGGTTCTACATGATATTCTTGATGACAAGTTGGTAAAATGTAATTTGGCTCCTATTACTGTTAGGTGGATTTGTAACTGGTTGACAGATCACACCCAAAGCGTGCTTGTTACTGATTCCTCATCCTCTTGGAGAGGAGTGACAAGTGGAGTGCCTCAGGGATCTGTCCTGGGGCCCTGTGTTGTTCAATATCTTTATAAATGACTTGGATGAAGGAATAGAGGGGATACTCATTAAATATGCAGATGAAACTAAATTGGGAGGGGTAGCAAATATAGTAGAAGACAGAGTCAAGATACAGGATGATCTTGATAGGCTGGAAAACTGAGCTAAAACTAACAGAATGAATTTCAATAAAGATAAACACAAAGTTCTCAATTTCGGTAGGAAAAATCAAACATAATTATACGATGGGAGAGACTTGTCTTGGCAGTAGTACTCGCGGAAAGGATCAAGGGATCTTAGTAGACCATACACTGAATGTAAGTCAGCAGTGTAATGCGGTAGTCAAAAAGGCAAATACGATTTTGATCTGCATCAACCGAAGTATGGTGCCCAGATCATGTGAAGTGATATATCACTTTACTCTGCTCTAGTTAGATCTCACTTGAAGTATTCAGTTTTGGGCACTGTAGTTTAAGAAGGATGCTGACAAACTGGAACGTGTCCAGAGGAAGCAACGAAGATGGTGAGGGGTCTGGAGACCAAGTCCTATAAGGAAAGGTTGCTGGGTATGTTTAGCCTGGAGAGGAGATGACTGTGAGGTGATATGATAGTCATCTTCAAGTATTTGAAGTGCTGTATAGAAGAGTTGTTTCTGTTGCCCCAGAAGGTTGGACAAGAACCAGTGGACTGAAATAAAATCAAAAGTTTTTGGCTAAACATCAGGAAGAACTTCCTGACAGGGTGGTTCTTTAGTGGGATAGGTTTCTTTGGGATGTGGTGGGCTCTCCTTCTTTGGAGGTTTTTAAGCAGGGACTAGTTGGCCATCTGACAAGCTATCCATAATCACATCTAAAATGAATTACTGTGATGAGTGTTATGTGCAGGTGCCTTTGAAAACTGTTTGGAAACACCAATTCCTTAGACCCTGACAACTGTAAATCTTTCTTTGAAGATGTTTTAAGTTTAGCTTCTTTGCTCTGCATTATTTTTATCTGCCCCACATCTGTTAGCTTTATCTTCATTACTTTATGGTTAGTTTAATATGACTGTTTTATTCTTTATTATCTTAATTTATTTTCCAGTGTCATCTTAAAACACTTCTATTTTTGACATCTTTTTAAAAATAAAATGTTGCTATTCAGTTTCCATTACAGTCTATAGAAAGTTTTTACATACGGCTAAATTCTCTGGTGCTTTCTGCTTTTTGACTGCTTTTGTTGTTTTATACAGCATCTTAAAATCTACTGCAAATACAGTAATGGATGGAAATATGGGATAAAAATACAGTTAAAGAAACTGAAGTGTATTTCTATTATTTATACCCTGCCACTTCAGAATTTGCTTCAGGCAGTTAACAACAACAAAATGAATTAAATACAAAAATCTAAATAAAAAACATAATCGATTCATTTAATGGCCAACTAGGTGGCCGGGGATAGCAACAACAATTCTACTTTATGTGCGTGTCAACGTTAACTCTTCAACATGATTGTTAGGGCTGCTCTGAACAGATGATACTTTAAAAATATGTGAAATTACAGAACATTCCTTGTATTTTGTTTTATAACCAGATTTCTGCTGGAAACTCATTTTCTGATTCCTGTTTCATCTGTTCAATATTTTTCTTGTCTGCAGGCCAATAAACTTCAAAATATCTTAATTCCCCAGTACTTTCTGCCTCCCCCCCCCCCCCCCATTTAAGCAATCAGGGAACTTTGAAAGCCAATAAAAGCTCACCAGAAGAAAAAAAATAAACCAGTCAGGACTGGCTAATGATGTTTTAGAGTTGGTGTTTCCTAAAAACCAGACTAAGCAGTACGTAATTAAATTTATATGGTGAAGTATTAGGAGTACCTAAACAAAAAGTTATTTTAATAGTAAAATAATATGCTTCTTCATTTAGTACAGCACACTTAGGCTGTATTTATTATATCTGGTCCAGGAAGAATGGAATTTAGGGCATTTACAACCAAGCTGATAGTTTGCACAAAAGACTATAAATGGCCAACAACCTAATCTCAATTTTATCCCAGAGTTCAGTGCCCCACTAACTCACAAGAAAATAGGCATCGATTTTAAGGAACATGGGAGGAAAGGTAAAACACATCTACTTGCTAAATTTAAATAAGCACAAAGTATAAGACAGACATGCATAAGGGTGCACACTGTATTAAGATGGAATATGCATTCCAATTTAAACTAAAATTAGCTTTAATATACATACTTGTTTTCCTATAAAACCAAAACCTATTTTGCTGCTTCAAACAAGATAAAATGTATTTAAGTTAATTATATTAATTGGCCTGTGTAGTATTTAAAGGTATAAATGCTGCTGTTTTCTACAAAACTGCAAATATACCCAGAACAGAAAGTTGTGAACTGCTGCACCCTTACTATTTTATCACATTTCATTCATTCCAAAGAAAAGAATATATTTCATATCAGCTTTTTATAACAGTGGTACTCAAGATTTCCCATTTTCCCCCCAAAGGGAATATGAGGGAAAACGTCTGCAGATGTTACCATGGTAGACATCGAGGAGGAAGAAAAACGAGGGCAGGGGCTAGGACTAGCAGCAAGACATGCAAAATGAGACGAGGCATTAACTATTTGAGCCAAAAAAACACGGGAAAGCAGGCATTTGTGCACACGGCAACAGGGAAGCCACTTTCCCTCCCCCCAAGGAATGAACAGGCTAGTATAATGATTTTGGCTACGAATGTGTTTCACGACTGTTAGCAGCCCTGGATGCCTCAATGAGGCAGAAAGGAGGCTTCTAAATTAACCAAAACCCACTTACTTCCAAACCTTATCAACGTCCTCTTGCTCCCCCCCCCCACCCCCGCGTTGTATTTATTTATTTGATTTTTCGCCTTTGCCCTACACGCAGGGAGCCGTTTCCCCAGAGCATTTAGCTTCCAGAAAAGCGAATCCCGCTTTGTACACAACTACTTTTATTACGTGTGCGTAAGGGCAAAAATAAAAGCCGTGGAGAAGGGAAAGGCCTTGGGGGATAATGGTCAACCCGGGTCGCTCGCTCGAAACACCCGGGTGGAGAGAAAAATGCCCCCTTTCGCGCGTGCGCAAATAAGCATGGAAGAGACAGCCCCGCGCGGCGGCGATTTGGCGGGGGAGGGTCTCCCGCTGTGTCTGCCGCAGAATCCCTCTCTGGGGAAGGGGCGGGGCAGAGCGAGCCCCCCCGGCCTCCTCCCAAAGGGAAAGGGGTGGGGGAGGGGGGACGGACAATTAACAGCGAGACGCCTGAACAGAGGAATGTGTGGAAACCCATGCCCCCCCACCACCACCACCCTCCATTCTCTCGCACCCCGGAGACATTAGGGGCTTCCCAGTGCGGCGGAGGCAGAGGTAGAGGCAAAGGCGGGCTCCTCCTTACCAGGCGGATGAAGCCGAAGCCGCGGTCCCGGTTAATGAAGACCTCGCTGGGCTCCCCGTAGCGCTCGAAAAGGCGCTTGAAATCCTCCTCGGTGATGTCGGTGGGCAGGTTCCCCACGAAGAGGCGGCAGCGCTGCGTGTAGCTCTTCTCGCCGGGCTTGAGGAAGCTCTTGATGTCGACGGTGAAGCCGCCGCCGCTCGGCTCCTCTTCCTCCTTCCCCATGGCCGCCGCTTCGTTCTCGGGCGGCGGGCCTTGCTGCTGCTGCTGCTGCTGCTGGTCCAGACCCCGCAGCCCTTTCATGCTGCCGCCGCCCACCATGCTCATCGGAGGGGCAGCCGCCGGGGAGCTGTTCTCGATCCTCACTTGCTTGAGGTTCCTGCTGGCGGACATGTTCCGAGTTTAGGGGGTCGTGAGGGCAGGGAACCGCTTGTGGGAGCCGTGAGGATGGAGGTCTCGCAGCTCAGTTCGGCTGCCGTCACTTCTGCCGGCCACCAAGCAGGGTAAAAAAAATCAAAATGGCGGAGAGACCGCTACCCACTGACGATTCAGAACGTCCGTCTGTTCCCTCCCCCCTCCCCTTTTTCTGGGTTCGTGAGTGCGCAGGCGCATGGGGTTTGAATCATTACTGGGCAGCTAGTTTGGTTAGGCGACGCGGTGCGCCTGCGTACTAGCCTAGGTAGTGGAGCTTGAAAAAGAAAAGAACCCGTAGCGGCTGTCATGAGGCTGGATGGTTCCAGAAATGCTTTGGGGTGTAGCTATGCTTAAACACAAAAGAGCTCTTGTTCCTCAGAGACGTATTACAAACATAGTTTTGACTTTTAAAATGTTAATCCCCAGTAATCACAATTAAGTAACCATAATTTTTATGGCTCTTTTGCTATTTTACTTCTGATGGGCAAGAGTAACGTCATTTTGTTAGATTTTGGCAGGCAGCTGCGGGCAGCTAGCAGTCTGGGCATCCCCACCCAACTTTGTTAACTTTGATACAGCTTTCTGGAATGTAAAGAGACAGGAACATTCCGAGAAATGCAAAGGAACGGGGGGGGGGGGGGAGAACAAAGGATCTTCAGTATACCTCAAATGAGATAAGAAGCTTATCTGCTTGCTTGCTGATATGCAGAAGTTAAGCCATGGGAGGAACAGAACAAAATGCCGCTTGCAGCAAGGACTTGGATAGCCTGCTCTTGTCAGATCTCAGAAGCTAAGCAGGACCGACCCTGGCAAGTATTTGGAAGAGAGACGTCCAAGAAATACCAGGGCCAAGACACAGAGGCAGTCAATCAAGTCACCTCTCTGAAATGTCCTAGCCCCAGTAGGGATTGCCAGAAGTCACCATGACTTTGAGGAATGCAAACGCACACAAAAATAACCCTAAAAATGCAGCTTGCACATGTGTAAAGAAAAGTTATTTCTGTAGGGGTATAAAAGCGCATCCCAACTCTAGTCAAGTGGGAGCAGAATGGGTGAAGTTGATTTGCCTTTCTGTAACTTCCTTATTCCTGGAATTAAGTTTTTTTCCCCCTCTTCAACTGAGTGCCTCACCTGTGTGTGTTAATTGGAACAGCATCTGCCAGGTTAACAACCCCATTTTGGCTGCACTTACATAGTAATCTTCAAATATCTCTAGTACTGAAAACTTCGGGACAGGATTCAAAGTTCCCTTACTTCAGTTTCATGGAATTTATTTAAGATAGGTATTAGCTGCCTTTCTACCTTCCAAGGTAGCTTACGTTATAAACGGAACAAAAACATAAACATTCATTTTTAAAATTAACATCACAATTTACAACTGGAAGAAACTAATCAAATGTTCACCTGAATTGCCCCAACAATGAAAGCTGAGCCATTCCTGACTACAGAAATGCCGGCTTAGGTGCCAACTCTGCATTGGGAAATTCCTGGAGGTTTGAGGCAGCCTGAGAAAGGGAGAGGGGAGAAAGCCAAGCCAGGATGCAGTGCCTTAGAGTCAGCCTTCTGGAGCTGCCATTTTCTCCAGGAAGACCGATCCCTATAGTCTGGCGATCAGTTGTAATTTTGGGAGTATTCCAGTCCCCACCTGAAGTCGGCAACCCTAGCATAAACAGTTTTTGGGTTGCATGTGAGGCAATTAGAGTTGCTGCTCCAAGTTGGAAAATTCCTAGAGATTTGGGGGTGGACTGTGGGGAGGGCCTTCAACAAGGTATAAAACCATGTAACCCTATTTGTTCTGGTGTTGCCTCAGTGATTCCCTCCTTCCTACGCAAGATTTTACTTGCTTTTATATTCTTGTATGTAATTTAGCTCTGATTTTAATTGTATCTATGTGTTTTTGTTTGCTTTAATGGTTTTTATGTGTGGCAGAATTCTAAGCCAGACGGAGCGGTTCTGTATAACAGCCTGAATTGACTTAGGCCTCTCTGTTTGGTTCTTTCCCATAAGACTTTGCAGTAGGCTCTTCAGCCTGACAATGCACCCTGCACTCTGCTGTAAAAGAACTGTTTACATTTCTGAATTCTAGCCTCAAAGTCAAGACATCTAGATATGAGGACCTGTGGCTCCAAGCTCCTGCCTTGACAGGGAGGGCGTTTTTAACCTAGTAATACAAGGACTCTGGTCAGAGTCTTCTGGTCATAAAAGGGAGGGGTCTGGATTTTGTCAGGTTCATCCGATTTCTTGATTGACAGCTAATCTGGATTCTAAAGGTATTTAACACCAGTGTTTGAGATGCTAAGGACCCTCTGCCAACACCGTGGTTTAGGTCTTGCACAAGTGGACGGAATGCATTCCTAAATAGATAATAATTCCTAAATGAATAATAAGTGCACTATTTATAAGTACTGACTTGTCTGTTCCCTTCTGTAAGATGAATACTGAAATTGCCACTTGCTTGAACATTTGTGCACTTTGATTTTCTTTCAATAAATGATTTTAACTTTGGAACAGCCCTCTCTCTCTCACACACACACACTATGGGATTCCTGCCAATTTCACACACACACCCATTGAGCTGGAGGATGGGATTTCTAGGAAAAGTTCCTGGACTCTTAATTCCCCCAACATTATGATGTGATTTTATTATATATATTTTTAATTTGTTAACTGCCTTTGTGACCCTTATGAGGGCAGAAGAGCAGGTAGAAATGTTGTCCATCCCTCATCAATTGTTTGTCATGCCCCTCCAATCAGCAGTATAGATTAGTGTGAAATCTGTCACATCTTTTTCAAGTGTAGATTCTCTATGTAAAAGGAGTTGAGCTAAAACAGTGTGAATCCTGTCATAAATCTTCCAATGGTTAATTCTCTATGCTAGAATAGAATTAGCAGAATTTTCTGTATGCAGAGACAGGAAATGGCAAACCACCTCTGAATGTCACTTGTCTTGAAAACCCTTCAGGGTTGCTGTGAGTTGACTGCAATTTGACAGGGGGGAAAAGATAACATGGCCCAGGCTACCCTGATCTTGTCAAATTGTAAAAGCTGTACGTAGGGTCAGTCCTGATTAGTACTTAAATAGGTGACCACCACCAAGGAAGTCCAGAGCATCTAAGCAGACATAAGGCAATAGCAAATCACCTCTGTGTTCCTCTTGCTTTGAAATCACTATGGGGTTGCCATAAATTGCAACTTGACAGCACTTCTCACACACACAAGGATAAAACATTGCTAATTGAAAGGCCTGTAATGTCTACAATTTAGGTGGAAGTCTATGTAAAGTTTTACCCAACTAATACAACCCCCACCAACAACCCTACATCTTTGTAGAACAAGTGTTTTATATATAGATGGTTACATGGAATATTCTCTTAAGATGCAGGGAAAGACTGGTGGACATTTAAAATAAGCTGCTAAAATAATTGAGTTGTGTGAAGATCTGCATATAATGCTGCAAAATCCCAAAAAATTAACTATGTGATATATTTCCTCTCACCTATTCACGCTTCACTCATGAAAAATACTCTCTTGGCTGCATTAAAAAATAATTTTGTGTGTACAGCGCCCCCTTTCAACTATTTTTGATGTTACTGTTAGCTTATTCGTTTATAATGTTATATTGCTATTAACTTACTGTTTATAACTTTGTATGTACGCTTCCTAAAATTTAATAATATATATATATATTAAAATCACATTTTGCATTTTGTTCAAATTGTTATGGGACACTACTAGCCTACATTGTTTTGGCATGATGGATCTTTAGACTTCTCCATTTGTGAAATAAACACCAGACTATTTTGTTTGAAACTGATTTATCCTGATGTATGTCTGCACAGAGGAATCTGATGAAGTGAGCAGTGACTCACGAAAAGGATAAAACATTGCTAATTGAAAGGCCTGTAATGTCTACAATTTAGGTGGAAGTCTATGTAAAGTTTTACCCAACTAATACAACCCCCACCAACAACCCTACATCTTTGTAGAACAAGTGTTTTATATATAGATGGTTACATGGAATATTCTCTTAAGATGCAGGGAAAGACTGGTGGACATTTAAAATAAGCTGCTAAAATAATTGAGTTGTGTGAAGATCTGCATATAATGCTGCAAAATCCCAAAAAATTAACTATGTGATATATTTCCTCTCACCTATTCACGCTTCACTCATGAAAAATACTCTCTTGGCTGCATTAAAAAATAATTTTGTGTGTACAGCGCCCCCTTTCAACTATTTTTGATGTTTTTTGTTGTTGTTCAGTCGCACAGTCGAGTCCAACTCTTCGCGACCCCATGGACTAGATCCCGCCAGGCTCTCCTGTCTTCCGCTGTCCTCTGAAGTTTGCTCAGTTTCATGTTTGTTGCATCGATGACACTGTCCAACCATCTCATCCTTTGCCGTCCCCGTCTTCTTTGACCTTCAATCTTTCCCAGCATCAGGGTCTTCTCCAGTGAGTGCTCCCTTCTTGTTATGGGACACTACTAGCCTACATTGTTTTGGCATGATGGATCTTTAGACTTCTCCATTTGTGAAATAAACACCAGACTATTTTGTTTGAAACTGATTTATCCTGATGTATGTCTGCACAGAGGAATCTGATGAAGTGAGCAGTGACTCACGAAAGCTCATACCCTGCCACAAATTGTGTTAATCTTTAAGGTGCTCCTGGACTCTTATTCTTTACTGCTACAGACAAACAGGGCTACCCATCTTGAGCTACTTCTACACAGTTTGACACAAGAGTCCTTACTGCCCCCTTGTGGGCACCTTGGTGAATATGAAGCCTATCATCACCCTCTCTGTTCCTAATAGCAAAATTTCAGTCATACCTAGCAGGGCAGCCAAGCCAGCCCACAAACAGTACAGGTAGGGCTCCCCAGTATGCAGAAAATGGGAATACTGAGGATGCTAGATAGTCAGGATTTTGTAAAAAACCAAATCAACCTGTTTGAGTTCTACACAAGTTAGAGGATGTGAGACTCATCCCTCTGCCCAAAGTCACTTCGGGGCCAGATATGGAGTATTCTGCTCACCTAGCCCAAAATCTCAGCTGTAAGTGAGTAGCTCTGGAACTGAACTATATTGCACCATGGAGAGAAACTGCACATGCACCATGCTTCACAAATGCTACTTTTTTATTGCTGGTGTTTGT